TCATTATTACACTATCTATTATGTTGAATCCAATATCACAAGAAGCATTTTGACCTAAGGTACTGTCCCTTTCTCATGGGAATATCTTTATAATTTTCTTGTAATTGATTGTTTTAAAATAAATCCATGTCAAATGTGAAAGCTAAATAGTGCCAGAGATGATGACTCATGGCAGTGATGTCTTCGCTCTACATTTACTTAAGTATATAAATTGGGTTATGTATACCTATGAAAGAGCCTTTCCAGGAAGGTATGGCTTACTGTTCAGTACCTTCTATTGTGTGGAGCTGCTCCTGAGAGTGACAGTTAAGCAAATTAATTAACATTGTTATAAGGTCTGCTCTTTCATTTTTTTGTGTGTGAAATTTGTTTTCAGTTTGCACCATTGTTAATTTTGGCAGTATAAAGGGGGTTATGATGTAACCTTTGTTTTGTAGTTTGTGTAGTGTAATTCTGAAGTTCAGAAGTACAATTTAGCCCCCAAAGAGGCCCCATCTAGAGAATTACTAATGACTTTATTTTGTTTTCTTACCAGTTTGAAAGTAGTTGCTTCAAAAAATTCAAATTGAATTATTTGGTTGTTAGAGTAAGCAAGATGTGTTACATTAAATAGTGGTGCACTGTGTAGTGACTTGCTTTTGAATTTATTTGCTTTCTGTACTTTTATGAATGTGACTTAGAATGACCACAGTGGAATGATATTTCATGGGTTTTTCTTTTGGAATAACTTTTGATACTTTACCTGTGTTTAGTAAACTCTGAATTAAATATTTCTTTTAATAGCTCTTTGTTAATTCTACGTACATAAGGGTATGTAACAGCCACCACTTTATGAAGCAGCAGGTTTTTTTTTTTTTTAGGGTTGAATAGACTCCAAATATTATAATTTTAGTAAGCATACTGTAAAGAAAAACTTGTACTTGTGTTAATTAAGAATTAAAATAACTGAAATCTAATTTATTCTTTGTGTTAGCCTATTAACTTAATGGCTAGCAAGAGGTATATTGCAGATAGTGAGGAAACACTAGAGCCCATTTTCTTGCGTTCAAATGATGAAAGCTATCATTTTAACTTATAAAATCTATACTGTATATGTTAATTTAGATTGTTACAAATCCTAAATATCTTTTTTATGCATTTTGTTGTTGTATTTATTCATTTGTGAAATGATTGCTTGATTTTGAAATTTAGATTTTGCCACTTATATTTTTCTGTTCTTTGACATTTCTTCATGTTGTCCTTGATTGTGATATTCCAGTTTAGCACAGAATAATTGATCTGGTAGTTTATACAGTAATTCCAATTTTAAAAGGAACAGTACAAAATTTTTAAGAGAATGTAGGACTGACTACCTGTCCAGTGATTTCAAATACAACAAAAGGAGTTGAGCTTTGGTTTGGAAAAGAAAAAGAAAAAATCAGTTAAAGCAGAGAAATTTGAGGAGACATTAAGTAGTACAACCAGAACAAGTTTTCAGGCCCTCACAAAAATAGCTTTCTGCAGCACTGAAATTTGGGGGAAAATGTGATCAATGAATTATCTATTCAAGTAAACACAAAATGGGAGGAGCCTTATTGCTTAGTTATTGAATACTCTTAAAAGCCAAAAAATCAATTTCCTAAACTTGATGGCATAACCTATGGATTTCAAATGGATGATTGATCTCAAGTGTGGATCTACAGGGAGGTGAATCCAGTGTGGGTGGAGATTTCATCAGGTAGTTAGTAAGGGGTGCCTGTATTTGGTAGCCAGGTTAGTAAAATATGTGCTTTTTGAAATTGCAGTTAGAGTTTTGACTCAAACTGTTCAACCCTAAAGAAAGTTAGCTGTTTAACATCAGTCCAAGGAATGTATATTGTAGAAAACAACCAGAAAAAAAAATGTTTTGAATTGTCTGCTGGTGTTCAAATGAACAATTGTGGAAATGTGAAATAGGAGAGACTTACCTTCCTATGAGCAGCAAAATGTCTCAGTGTGTCATGCTTGCCAAGGGAGTAAAGGAGTTCTTAACACTATGGAAAGTGGACCTTTCAAGGACCAGAGGTAAACAGCCTCTGGAGTGTGTATTTCGATTCAATCAAACGAATTTTCAGATATTTAAGAACTTCAGAGCAGTGTAAAAACATTAAGGAATTTAGATAGAAGATACATGCCCAATTTAAGGGTTATTGCAGTAGGAATTTTTGTATTAATGGTTCCTAAGATCATACAGAGATGGGGGGAACATTTGAGTATTACTGTGTAATAATTGATAAAACAATAACAGTAGTTATGAGGCATTCCAGTGTTTGAGAAATGAGTACCTGTTAACCCACTAGTTAGACAAGGACTAAAACATTCCCCAGACCCATTGCATGCTTCTACAATAGCTTGGTTGTAATTTTATCAACTTGATAGGATAATAGTAGAAGAAACTAATTTCTGGGGCTTAGTGGATGAAAAGTTTTGAACATGGGGTTATAGGAGAAAATAGTAAATGGGCCTCTTGCATGCTAAGATTGGGGAGCACTGAGTTCAATTGAGTCGTTCAGTAATGGACCTCTAATGATATGAAGCACAGGAATACAGAGGTTAAATAAGAGACTTGTCTTAAATCTAAAAGAGTTACTGTAGTTCTAACAGTTTGTTCTGATATGAGTATTTAAATAGTACACCAGAAATTGCTGATGACTTCCAAGCTAGAAAGGTTCTTGATAAAGATAGTACTCAGCTGGTTTGATTTAATAATGAATTAGATTGTACATTCCTTGAGGACTTGGTCATCTTTTCATTCCCATCAGAACTGTCTGCTACATAATCTGTATTTAGGTATTAAGGTCCGTGGTACATGTTAGAGACTGAAACAAATCATGGGAGAAATACTGCCTATCTCTCTTTTATATTGGATAAGTTCTTTGAGAGCTGAAATCACAGAACTATGCTTTAGAACTAGCCCATCCTATGTCATTTACCCACCTATCTACTCTTATTGAGGACTTGTGTGTTCCAGGCTCTGTCTGGGTTCAGGGGAAGCAGTGGGTAACAGAAGCCTGCGGAACTTTTAGTTCTTAATCAAAAAAAAAAAAAAAAATCACACAATTATCTATAGAAGTACAACCTAATGGTAAATACATTGTTATCTAACTGGATGCTTTTATATATATATGAAGGTTATTGGTTTTATGTATTTATACATATTTTAATATCACCATCTGAATATTTTTTTTATCATTTTCAATTGGCTCTTTTAATTTTTCTAAGTTTGGAAATTTTTTTTACCTGGAAGGTTATGATTTTTTCCCCCTCCTTACTCTGTTATATTACTGAGATTACTTATAACAGATTGTTAAATTTTGAACTGTTCTTGCATTTATGGTATAAATTCTTTTTTCTTGGTGTACCTGGATGAAAGGATATATGTGTAATTTTAATTATATTAACTGTTTCTAATGCCATTTGGCTAAGCTACACACTAATTTGATGCTTAAGAAAGTCTTCATTACTATACATATACAAGAACTTTAAGAAAGAATAAAGTCTTGCCCTTATAGTCAAATCCAAGGTACTCTCTTTTTAAATTTTTGTTGATTTCATTTGCTATTCAAAGCTAAACCTTTGGTAAGCTTTGATAATCAAATTGTTATTCAGGAGAAAAAATTTGTAATGAAATGAATATTGCTATTACTGAAGCAAAAATGTGTATAATTTTTAAAAAAGTAATATTTTATAACTGGATAAAAATACCTTTGATCACACCTTTTTTCTGTATTGGATTTTATTTAACTGAAACAGATTTAAATAAGTAGTTATGAAAATTAAAGAATGCATTCAAGTTTGATAGTTCCTTAATATTCAGTAGATTGGAATTTCACTTTAGGGTGATATACAAAATACATTTTAAAAATAAAAAAGTTTAAAAAAGTATTTGGATGTGAGCCTTTTCCTCAAGGAGGACATAATCTGTAGAATGGAAGATAGTTACATAGGCATCCAGCTAATAGCCTAATAATGACAATTTATGTATGTTCCAGTGGGAACCTATCCTCTAGCACAGAATAGAAGCTTAGTAGATAATTCTTGGAAGAATTAATCCATTTTCTTTAAAAACTTGACCTAGTGAAATAGATTCTACATTTTTTCTTTAAGTATATATTTATACCTAGGAATTGTAATACTTTTTTTTTTAAAGGTTATTGATTTGGGATATCTCTAATTTCTTATATTTAATTCAATAACTCTGTGTAGTTTGATTTCCATTACCATCTTTTTCTTGAAACTTCTTTGATCACCAATAGCTTAATGGTCAAATCCCAGGTACCATCTTTTTCTTTTTACTTCATCATATTTCTGTAGTATTCAATACTTTTGATCACCTTAGTTTTTATATCACCTCTCTTTTCAAGTTCTCCTATCTACCTTCATTTCTTATTGATTTAGATCTTGTTTTCCTCAGTCCTCCCTTCTCCCTTAACCTTCTTTTAAGATCTCTCTTCTCATAGCTTTAGCTCCTAAATTTGTGTATCAAACTCAGACTTCTGCTAAACTTGCCACCTATTATCTATTGGGCATTTCTGAATACTCTGAAGACATCTAAAGGATCTAACAAAACAGTCCAGTCTAAACTTCATTCAGAGAGCTTAGTTCTGAAGTGTCAAACAGCCTCTGGTGTGTGTATTGTCTGGAAGGCATTCTCTTCATAGTTACTGATGAAGCAGTCATTTGGAATGACTGGCCTCAGTTAAACATGGAAAAATTAGGTAAAACAAATCTATATCATACTGCTTAAGAATTTGGGCTCTGAAGTTAGTTTTAATAAGATGTCTTATTTGGTTGTTATAAATTCGATTAGTGGTAGAAATTAAGGTTAGGTTATCAATCCATTAAACATGGGCTTAATCCAGAAACAGACAGAATAGGCCAGTAATTCTTCACTGGAGTTTTAACACTATACATGAAATCTTCCCCTGCAACCCCCTCCCCTATTTTCTTCTGGACTAGCAAGAATACTTTTTTTGTCTAACACATTTAAAATTTTTACTTTTAACAGAAATTAGCAGAGTACGGAAAGACATGTACAATGACACATTAAATGGCAGTACAGAGAAAAGGAGTGCAGAATTGCCTGATGCTGTGGGACCTATTGTTCAGTTACAAGAGAAACTTTATGTGCCTGTAAAAGAATACCCAGATGTAAGTATATTCTTTTGTTTTATTCAGTTTTTTTTTCTCTTTATATAATGTGGAAACATAAATTTGGTGGTAAATATTTAAGAAAGTTCATGTGAGGGACTGGAAGTATGGATAATTTCTATCTTTTGAAGTATGTTTCCATTTGATTATTGCTATGTCATTTTTAGAAATGCCCCTGGAAAAGAGCTTTTTGAGATTTCAAAATGAGGCAAAGAATTATGGGAAGAACATTGGCTTGAATGTTAAAAAGCAATGAGTTAAACCCCATTTGTCTTTAATCTGACCTCAGAAAAGTCACAGTTTGGGCCACATATCCTTTCTGTAAAATGGGGTATGGGAATATAAGATTGCTTTCAGCTCTTAAATTTTTATGGAAACTATTTCTAATCTGATTGTCCTCTCATCTTAGTCCGTTACTCAACTGTTCTCTATAAGCATCTTGTTGTGAATAATTTTGTCCTATACCAGTTAATTTCTAAATACATAAATTCAGACACTGGGCCTTTTTTTACAAGGCCTATTTCTCTAACCTCATTATTAATGATTTTCCCTCTTTTTCACTACATTGTAGTGACATTGTCCTTCTTTTGGCCTTTTAAAACAAGTTATGTCTATTCCTAGCCTCAAAACCTTTTTTTTTTTTTTTTTTAGCTGTACCCTGATCTCTACTGTCTGGCTGCTGCTTCTCTTTAGGATCTAAGTTTAAATGTCACTTCATTGATGGTGAGGCTTCCTTCCCTTTAACATTTTACCTAGAAGCCCTGTGAGTTACTCACTTTTTTCACAAGTTTCTTTTTTTCTCTGCAGCAGTGCTTATTATCTGGCATTTTTCTTGTTTATTTTACTGTCTCTCCCCAGCAGAATATAAAATACATAAAACAAGAACTTGGTCTTGTTATTCATTATGATATACCCCATAATATTAACAGATAATAAGCATCCAATACCTTTTGGATAAGCTAAGGAAAAATGGTTACTTTTTTTAATGTTTATTTATATTAGTTATAAGTGGCCACAATACCTTTATTTTATTTTTTTGTGGTGCTTGAGGATGGAACCCAGTGCTTCACGCATGCTAGGCAAACGCTGTACCTCTGAGCCACAATCACAGCCCAGGAAAAATGCTTACTTTTGCTAAGTTTTGGAATACTTCTCTAAGAAGTAAGTAGAAGAAAAAATTTGACATAATGTCAGAATGTGATGTGATCTAAGATTTATTAGTTATTTAGACAGAACACTAGTCTGCAGATGGGAATAAATGCCTTAAGTTGGTTTTATGGGAAAAGCTTTAGTATTTCACAATTTGCATTTCTATTACACTTGTCTTTAAAGCTTACACATTTACTCTATGCATATTTTTGGTTGCAGAGGCAAAAAAAAGAGTTTTTTGGAAGTTATTGGAAAAGTCAAAAAATTAAAGGAAGAATTGGAGAGCCAAAGCAAGGCAGGAACCATGAGATTACTGAGAACTTTAGTGGCAATAGTTTATGGTTTCATTACTGCTTTTAACAGTAGAGTCATAATTTCAGACACTGGGCTTTTTGTTATAAGGCTTTATCTTCAAATTTCCAATTCTTGAAAAGAATGAATTTTGAACCAATCTGCCATGACTGGAGAGGCAGATTGTAAGCTAGGCATGACTGCTGTAGGCCTGCCCTCAGTGTTAGGGTTATTCCTAGAGATGGGAAAAAGTATCCCAACTGGGGTCGGCACTGTTTGGTATTTCAGTGTCCCATAAAGGATATAAGCTTTCTCATCTGCTTTTTAAACCCTGGGGGATAAAGTTTGAGTAGCAGTCATTAACATAAATATATATGTGCCATAAGACTTTAATAGCTTATAACCTTGATCTGTTTCCATCTATTATTTAATAAATCCCATTTAGGGAAGAATATTTATACTGTATTATTAAAAAGACTTTTTTTTTTTTAATACAGTTTTCTAAGTGAGCACCTGGCATGAGTCCAGAGGGCATCTTTTCACTCTCTTCCTTTCCTCCTTTTGCCCAGTCCCAGATTAAGTCAGAAACTATGGGGCAGAGGCCCAGCATCTGGTTCCCCCACCACCTTTGTAGGTTTTTTTTTTTTTTTTTTTTGTGGCGCTAGGAATAGAACTTGGGGCCTGAAGCATGCTAGGTAAGCACTCTACCACTGAGTTATACTCCTAACGCTAATCTGCCCATTATCAAGTCCTGTAGATGATCCTGATGCATGCTTAGTTTTAGAATTATTGCTATAATTTGCCTTCATCATCAGAATAGCCAGGCTGCCAGGTGGATGATCACAGGCTTGGATGTTTTGTCAGGCATTGTTCCAGGAGGTGGAGAGAATGGACTGAACAGTGTGCCTACTGTTGCAGAGTGAGCATTTCTGGGGCAGACACGGACAGTAAGCAAATGAATGTATACTTTTTGGTGTAGTACTTGCTGTGGAGAAGCACAAAGTGTGGTACATAGATGAACAGTGACTGCGGGAGGGGGGCCGTTCATTTCTAGGGGTTCTCATGGAAAGAGTATCTTTTAAAATGATAAGAAATGTAGGGGCTGGGGATGTGGCTCAAGTGGTAACATGCTCGCCTGGCGTGTGCGGGGCCCTGGGTTTGATTCTCAGCATCACATATAAATAAAATAAAGATGTTCTGTCTACTGAAAACTGAAAAATAAATATTAAAAAAAATTCTAAAAAAAATTAACAAATACATACAAGAACAATCATGGGGAGGAAAACATGAAAACCATTTAGGGGTACACATTCTGGGCAGAGGGAAAAGGGGGTGCAGCAACTAAGTTGTGACCTTGTTTGTGGATTGTGCTAGTAGAAGGTTAGCAGAGGAGCCTTATTTGTTAGTGCCTTTGGGCTCAATGGGAATTTTTAATGCTATTTGGAGTGAAAGAAGAAGCCATTCAAATGGTTTTAGCCAAGGAATGCTACTGGGTTTTTGATATATTCCTTCTGTCTGCTTTGTGGAAAGAATGTGGACAGTTGGGTGAGCAGGGAAACTAGTCGGGAGGCAGGGGAGGGGACTTAAACTAGAAGATTTAAGAAAGGTGTGGTTTGCATATTTTAGAGTTAGAACTGATAGGATTTGGTGATAGATTAAATTTGAATTGAGTCAGGAATGGTCCAAAGGTGGAATTTGGTCAGCTGGAGTGCAGTTGCATTTCTGAGACAGGAAAGACTGAGGAGGGAATAGCTTCGGGAAAGACGGGGTTCCAAGGTTCTGATAGAGATGTGAAGCTTGAAGATAGGCATTCAGATGTGAGGTGTCAGGCAGGTAGATCTGATTAGAGATCTGATTTTATGTGATGCTTTTGTTACCCCAGAAAGGAGGAGAGAAATGGATACAAAAGTTTGGATCCTCCAGACAAGTTTTTTAAAATCCTAATTTTAAATTCCTGTTAGGAGCACTTAAGTTTAGCAGAGTTGGAATCTGAACACAGTTATTAGTTTTTCTTCTTGGAGGTTACTAATATAGAGTAATAACTGGCATATAAGAGGAGATTTATTTTGCTTTTTTTTTTTTTTAAGTTAAAGTAAACCAGGAGAGTCTGTGTCAGATTTTGGCTGTGTGGGAAAAATTTAGTTCAGAATTATGCATTAAATTTTGGCCACATTAAAAGAACATGCATTCTTAGTCTTCACTTAATACATCCTAGAGATCATTTTGTATGCTTCTTTTCTTCCCCTGTCTGTATAAAATCTTGAGTTGTGAGAATGAGTTCATCCTGTTGGGATAAAATGTTTTTATTATTAAAGCTTTAGAGGGGCAGGGTACCATAATGTCCAGAAGTATGAACTCAGACCCAGACTCTGGCTAGCTCTTCTGTTTGTTTTGTAACTAGTTCCTCAGTTTCCTCACCTCATAATGGAGATACAAAGTTTCTCACAGGATTATGAAGACTAAATGGTTTAAAACATGTAAAGCACTTGGAAAATCCTTGATGCTCTGTAAATGTTGTTAACAAGCATGGAAGATCCATGAGGGCAGGGAATTTTTGTAAGTTTTCTTTTTCAGGGTTATATTCTCAGTGCTTAGAACAGTGTCTGATAAATGTTAGATGCACAGGGAATATTCATTGTGCACACTTGTTTGAAGCTAATTCTTTTAAATATGAAAAAATATTTTAATATTTTTGTCATTTGCATTTGGCTACTATAGAAGTCAACATTAAGTTGAAGGCAGTATTTTGTTTTCTATTTTTATGTTTTTTGGGTGTGGCTGAGTATTAAATGTAAGGCCTCTCATGCTAGGCAAGAACTACTATTGTCAAGCTGTATCTCCAGCCCAGAGTATTTTGTACTTGTTTATGTAGAGCTCTGGGACAGATAAAAGAAGGAAGCCTTAGATTCAGAACCTGAAAAATGGTGTAGTGCTGTATCATGTCCAATCATAATGTTTTTTAGCCCTTGGCTTAATGATGTGGGAATGAGAAGTTCATATGAGCAGTCTTATTGAAAATGCATTAAAAAGTTTTTCAAAGTTTACATTAATAAACTAATAAAGCAGATTTTTGATGCATCTTTCTGTGTACCAAACACAATCTGGGTGTGAGAATATTTTGATTTAAAAATCTCAAGATGGTAGTTGGCGTTTGAGTCAAGACAGGCCTAATAATTATATATATATAAATTTTTTTTTTTTTTGCGCGTGGTGGTGGTGTACTGGGGATTGAACTCAGGGGCACTTAACTGCTGAGCCACATGGCCAGCCCTGTTTTGTATTTTGTTTAGAGACAGGGTCTCACAGAGTTGCTTAGCTCCTTGCTTTTGCTGGGGCTGGCTTTGAACTCAGCAATCCTCCTGCCTCAGCCCCCTGAACCCCTGGGATTACAGATGTACGCCACTGTTCCTGGCCAGGTCTAGGTTTTAAATCCTGGTTTTTATCCCCTTGCTGGCTGAATTTTTAGCAGTTGCCTTAGAAATACTCTGCAATGAAACACTCTAAAACTCAGAAGCTTAAACTAATAAACAGATCCTCATGGATATCTGTGTTGGCTGAGG